TTGGCATGCAGACTGAAAGAAACAGGGATCAAACCACCAACCTTCCAATCAGTAGATGACCTGCTCTACCTCCTGAGCTACAGCCACCCTTTATATAAGGTAGAGTGGTTGTGGTTAAAGCTGTTCATAGACTTTCTTGGTTTTATGTTCAGGGAACTCACCTTTAACAGCAATACAGTTGGCAGCAATTCATTGCAATCTCAATACCCAAAGTAATAAGGTGATAGAGGAAAGACGGTGGTAGAAAAAAGAGAAAACCATACAGCTCCTTCAACCTCCAAAATAAAACTATTCAGTAAATTAATTTGCAGTGGGTCTGAGGCATTATCACCAATATATGATTTGAATAAGCTGCCATAACAATAACAATTTTAATATATAATTAGAAAAAATGTATTTTAATTTGTCTTAAAAAATGTCTAAAAAACCAAAATAAATACGTAAAAGGGTTGGCTTGGCCGAATCAGCATGAACACAGAATACCATTATGCAACAAACTGCAATGATTCAGTCTCTCAAAATAAAATCTCTAACTTGGTTTCACCTGAGATTCAAACTAGCTTATAACAATACCTGTCTCCTGGAGCAGCTAGCATTAGCGAAAACCCTCAAAAGAAATGAAACACTGTGAGCAGCAGCAAGAAAAGACAACCGTATCTAATAATATGCATCGAACCCTATCCCACTTGAAATCAGTGTCAGTCGCACAAAGAACAACACACACACAAACAAAATACTAATTGAACTAAATGAAACTTTGCTTTGGGGTTTAATAGTAAGAAGCAGAGCTAGAAGTAAGGTGTTCTGGGAGGTTTTAATAATTTTGCCTCTTATGTGTAAAACCCAAGGTTAACATCAAAGGTCTTTCTTAGTTGATACCCCCCTTTCTACCTTTAAAACGATCTCAGTGACCAAGTGACACACCGTGTCCAAGCAAAAATGTCATTACCTGTAATGTTCAGCAGGCAAAACAGAATCAGCACTGACACTTAGACCCCTTCCATTTCAGATTTAACCACAGCAGGACCAGGGCATTGAATAACCCAATCAGCCTGCTCCCCTTGGACGGACGTATAACTCATGTTTAGAATGGCAACTTGTTGTTTGCAAGCCAATCGTGGTGATCAATTGTCCACCAACCCCAGCTCAACTGACACAATACACAACGCACACACCTTTAAAGTGCAATCATCCTTCAAGCCTCGTATCAGAAGTTGTTGGGTCGATGTAAGCCGTGGTGGAATTATGAGGTTTCCGACAGAGCTTGGACAACGATGAGTTGAACATAATCGAGTGTCTTGTTTTCATAAATGCAACAGCTGAGACCCAGAGGAGAAGGGTCACGAGGAGGAGGAGGGGAGCAAGCAGGAGCAGAAGATAGGCGAGGGTGAGGAAAGAATGGCAGAGGAGGAAGTGAAAGGCAATGCAAAAGGAAAAGAAAATGAGAAAAATGTTAAAATGAGAAGAAGTACAGTACAGTACCAGCCGGTAACTACTACAACCTGAAACTTTCCTTTTCGTTCTAATGAGTTTTCTCCTTTGAATAAGCAGTTACATCTAGATGATGATTTGAGAGGGTTAGTAGATGCACAAGCCCGTTTTCTCCTTGTGAGCGCCGTCTGCTTGATCATGAAAGGAGGGAAAAAAGAAACACAGGAGAAGGAATGAGGACAAATTCTTAACCCATTGAGTCATGAGCATAAGCACTCATTTCAGACAATAAGAACATTCCTCCCCTCCACAGACTAACCTATTTAACCTCCTGAGCATCACAGGGGGGGCTCCTGAAAGTCTAATTCAATAACAAATTATTTTTGAAACAGTTTTTTTTTTTTTTTACTTACTTGTGTTCTCTAATTGGGAAAATGCCATTAGCACTTTTCAGTTACATACAAAGTCTCTGGTAACCAGAAAGTAACAATAAGTCTTACATACAGTTATTGAGCAATTGGTTTCAACTGACTGAAGAGTCTTCAGCCATGGTAATTGCTCAGGGAGTACATACACACTGAGGTTTTGTACCAAATGTTTATGCAAGCATGGTAGCGTATTGTTGCTGGATGTTTTACAGAATGGCAGAGAGAATTGCCTAGTTTTGCTACACACTAGAGGTCACACTATAGAGGCCCCTAAGTAACAAGAGTGCATGGAAAATAAATTCATTGAATTACACACTTCTGGAACGAAAGGAAAAGTCAAGGGATGACCAGTATTGTTAGCATCCATCCCCTGTGAACTCTGAATGTCTGTATGTAACCCATTATGTACATGGATGGTGTGTCACATGCACATAATTTATGTCAAAACATTTCACTGTGGCTCAAAGTGGTGGAACTGGGTGAACAGAACAGAGATTAACGTCTATAGAGAGGTGACCAAAGTATATCTGACAAAAAACAGAGCTGGAAGGAAATTAAATGGCTAAATATACTTGTGCAAATCATTTCATAAACATGACCTCAACTTATTGTGAGTCACACAATTTGCTAGATATTTAACTTAAATTGTACCATTATGGATTTCTCCTACCCCAGTCTCCGTCATGCAGCCTACTGCAGCTCAACATACTAGACTTGACTTAAAAGAAAAAAAAAACCCCACTGCATTTTCTCCGTGTTTCCTCAAGAGGGAGGCATTTCTGCAATAACAGGTCAAGAAAACAGATGACTGTATGAACATGTGGCCTGACTACGTTTCTATCAACCTTATAATTCGTGGTTATAGATGTAAGGCATATATGGAAGATTAAAACAATTTAAGAATTGATACTGCAATTACACTTTCCTCAATATCTTTAACATGCGTTATACAGTAAAGCTAAATTCATAATTACAAATAAAAAAATTTTCACTGCAAAGGCTTTCTTGTACTGATGTAGAAGTCATTGCACCCCAACCTCACATAATAAAACCTCTGTTACAGAATGACCCAATAACACTGACAGACAGGAGGAGTGTTGATGCCTCTTTAATTCCATCGGCGAGTCACATTAACAAGTTATATCATAGCAGTCCTGAACAAATTCAAAACTCTCAATCATCAAAATGCATTAACAAAATAAAAACAAAAACTTATTCAGAAAAAAGTTTGAAGTAAAGCTACAGGAGAAAAGTAGTTCAGTTTCATGGTCCATATACAGTGAGCCATCAGAAAGTTAATATCGCTCTTTCAGAGTACACAAGTCTTTCGTCTTAGGCTCACTGTTGGATAAACTGTTTAAGCAAGCAGTAATAGCATACAAGTTCTCTCATAGGTTTACATTTTCTCAGACTGATACAAAGTCAGGAAAAACACTGCCTCTACTGAGGTACCTGAAATGAAAATATGTGAGTGGAGGGAGTCAAAAAAGTCATGAAAGGAAATTGAAATAGTATTTTCATATAGCCCCAATGCAGAATTGTTCTGAATATAAATACTGACTATATAAAAAGCAGATCTTTGACTTGAATACATATCATAGTACATCATCATCCTCTGACCGTCCAGTGGAGCTTTCCATTTAAAATAAAACTGCAGGAGGGGTTACTGTGGCTCAATAAATCGCATTCTGTCAGGTGCTGAAATAGTAACTTCCTGTTTCAGCCGTAATTCAAAATAAGATTCCCCATTTATATACAAAAACAGTATGGTTTCAAACATACAGAGTGAACTGTTAACTATGCATTAGAAAAATCACATCACTAAGAAGTACATTTAATACTTATCCATTTCACGGTGCAAACAGGTTTAAGTCATTCAAATCTTTACACTGATGCCAAGTCCCAGAAGTTCACAAATTCAATTTCAGGCTACAAAATTTCCACAATCCTGAGATGTTGCAGAAAAGTAGGGCTAAAAAGGGAAGGGGGGCAGCTTTCTTTGTGATCTATACTTTTCTCTGTGCTCCCTTTACTGTAACAAATACATGAGAAAAAAAGAATCACATTAAAATGACCTACAATACTGTTGTCTACAAATGCAACATGCTTTAGAGCAATGTGAAATATTTAAGAAGGAAAAGCTACTAAAGTGCAAGCACAAATCGATAAAACTTCAATGACAAAGTATGGAGACAATACCAAAAGATTGTCATGACATGTGTGCAGTCTGGAGTGTCTGTATGATGTGGCCCGTCATGTGGCGGTTCTTCACCTCAGGGCTCGACATATGTACACACTCACACTTTACTTAGTTCAACCTGCACACATCACACTTTAGTAAAACAAGGAGGGGGGGGGGGGGGGGTGAAAAAGACAGAAAACAAAACTTTTGAAACCTTAATTCCTTAGGAAAATGTCCACTGGAGATCAGTGCCGAGTGGCTTCCAATTGTGACAAGATTGTCTATACATTCTTGATTTTCGCATAAAAATTCTACAGATTCAAGGCTATCATCACGAATAGTAATAATATAGCAATAAACCTTTCATAGTGTAAGAGGAATACAGCACAAAAACAACTGCATTATTACACAAAGAAAAATAAAATGTGGCTCATTTATCAACAATAAAATCTGCAGAGAAGATCACAGATCTTTGTCATGGCAGTGAAAATAAAAATAGTCAGTCATATACGTATATCAAAAATTCACAAAATGTCCTGCATTTGGAATATTCAAAATGCATATAAGAACTCTTCAAAAGCATACATCTTGAGAAGGCTTAAGAGATGTGAAATATTGCTTCACTGAAAGCCATAATGGGATACATATACACTATGAATGATCACAGATGAGATGGAAATGTGATTTAAAATAATCTCCCAAAATCCCTCATTTTATTTGTTTCCAAAATAAAAAAAAAATAAAATAAAATAAAATAAAAATCTGACCAAAGAACTAAATGAGGAACTACTTAACCTTAAACTTAATTTTTTATTAAATCCCTTCACTGTCATTAAAATTGAAATCACAACCTCACCCCCTTACTGAGTGACTAAATCAGACCCCCTGGAGGGAAAGGGGGGGGGGGGTTCCAAAGTTAAATTTCCGGGGGGCCTTTTCAACCACCGGCTTGTTCCTTCAATTGGGTGTATGAAGCACAATGTTACAGATGACTAAGGAGCAAACTCCATCCTGGAAGTCATTAGGGGAGATTAATTGACAATAATATGGTCCTACAAGGATAACAGTGTAATGCAGAAAATACACTTTTGCCTTTAAAATATCCAACTAAGCTACTTAACTGAATGTGCTTTCAGTGGTCACGTACAGTGATGTTTTTCCACTCTTTTCAACATTACACAACTAGCTCAAAAGGACAGTAACAAACCTAGAAGGTGACGTGAAATCATCAAATGCATTTTTGGTCCAAGTGTAATTTCTTTTAAAACATAAAAAAATAAAAAAAAAACTTATGCGGGTGAGAAATGACCAAACTGTGGAATGTACATGCATGTGATCCATTGAACGCCAAAAATTGTGACATCATACAAGTTTTTCAATTTTGTCTCTGAACCCTGAGCGAAATCAAATATTATATTTATGTACAAATACATCCACACACACACAAGGCTCATAGCAAGTACGACCACAAACTTGCAGAGACCCTAGTTAACCTCAAATGTGGCTATTGAAGCTAAATGCTTCAAGTAGTCCAACAGTTGTCACTGGTACCCTCAGGCCTTCCTTTTTCAGCACTTAATCCTCAATCCTGCTTAAATTAACTTGAGCCCATCCTTTCTGCACTTTCTACTCAAAAGGCAGCTATCATAAAGAGAGGAAATGGATAAAAGTTACAAATCAATGATAACCAAATACAGATGACTGGGGGCTCATTTTGTTCAGTTTCCCCTCATTTATATATTTAAAAAATAATAATAAAAAAAATCAAACAAAAGGACAGTCCATACTCTGTTAGAGGGAAAAGAATTTGCCCTAGAAATTTTAATATGTGCCTGCGCTTCAAGTATTCAAGTATTGTAACCCTAACAGCCATTGTTTGGCATTCTGACAAATCTTACTATGGAAGAGGAAAAAAAAGTAACAAAATAAACCTTTTAGAGGCTGAAAATCTCATAAATTTCACGGATACAATGGTAATAAAAGGTTATGGTAAACTTGATTTTTGTATTTGTGATTAATGAAAGATAGTCCCTTCTTATTCAGCAATTTACAGCTCCCCTTACACAACACTCCTCTCACCAGGAGAGGGGTTTGCTTTCCCCATCCATTTCTCTAAACTCTTTTAGTTGTGTTTCTTGAGTCCATCTATTGTGCCATCGTGGTCGCTGAATTCGGGACAGATACCATTAGCTGTTTTGCTGGTGGCGGCGGCTCCTTTCACTTTCAGTGTCGACAGGCTGGGTTGGGTTTGGTGATCATTGTAGGGAGCACTGTGGAGGTCTGTGTTTTCTGTGTACAGGTAGTCGTCAGCAAAGTCTTGGTGGTGCTCCACAAAGTTTCTGAACTTGTCTGCGAAAAGACCACATGGGGGTGCCAGACACAAAGGCAGCATTAGGAAAAACTGCCAAGAGACTGAGGGCATCTTAAAATAAAGTGTCCTGGTTGTCAAATCTATTCCAATGCATGAGGGGGAAAAAACTCACTTTGATAACTAATTATAGCTCAAAAGAATTCAGTGAAATATTTTTATGGCCGTTTTATTCGATCTCTTACCAAATGTGATCTTCCCTGTGTCGTCCACGTCGATGGCGGTAAACAGATGTGACACGCTGATGTGACTCACGCCTAAAGCTGTCTTAAGTATAACTGCTAACTCGCTTTCTGTGATGGCACCATCCTCCTCTGCCTCAAACATCTGGGGAAGAGGAAATATGATAGGATTAAAACATTCTCCTTGGCTTTGCTTTAGGGCCACTTGAACAGCATATAAGGTGACAGCCCTTGCTCAACTCAAATATCAAGCAAGTAAGAAGAGAAGATTATTATGCTCTTCTCACCTTACTTCATCAAGCTGATTTATAGATACCCAGAGTAACTGATCGGCTTCAGTGAAACCCTAAATGCACACTTCATCAAGCATTTTGAAAGGTTTTGAAATATGGGACAAATATAAATGTACTACCCAGAAGATGCGTTAATGGAGCAAATGTTATGCTGGTGCTTATGAAGCACAAAACTATTCTGCCAGTTGGTCAGATAAGCATAAATCTTACCTTAAAGGCCAATTTCATTGTTTCCAGAGTTTTGGCAGGCCTGCATACAACAGATAAGGCTATCACATATTCTCTAATATCCATTCTGTTATCTTCATGCTGAAAAGACAAGAGACCACAATAAAAATAAAATCAGACTGTGAGCAAGACTGCTATGTTTCACAGAAGCATCTGGCCGATAGCCATTTAGGTCAAAAACACATTGCAGCAACAAATCTTTTCTTGTTTAGGTTCCATTATGCAAATATGCACACTGAGTTTAGTTTAAAGAAAGCGCATACAATCCAGTTTTCTAGAAGCACTTTCTCATCCGACTACTTCAATCACGCCCCAAACTAGAACGAATATTGCTTCAGTTGTGCATTTTTCGAAAACTGCTGTTCTGTATTTGCATAATAAAAACTAAACGTGAAAATAATAAAACAAAATGCACTCAAGTAGCAGCAGTAACCACTGTGAAAGACTGCAGAGCAATCATGGTTATCAGTAAAAGGTCGCTGCAGGTTTTACCTCGTCAAAAAGACCAAACATGTCTCGCAGCATATCTGAAACTGGCACATCAAGGAAGTGTGCAAAGCCTTCCAGTCCCAGCTTCTGCCCCTCAAGCTTCCTGGCTCTGTTCCCATACTCCTGCAAAACCTTCTCGGAGTTCTGTGGTTTCAATCTGGGACAGCGATGACATAATAACATAAGAATAACAGTGTAAGCAAAGAGAGAGGGGAAAAAATGAGAAGACTTGTGCTCCTGAGAATGAGCAAGCTATGACAACTCTATAGACTTTACAGTTATACTGTATAATATTTATGTGCTCCGTTCTACTCATTTGCATTTTCCCCCCCAACAAGCTACATGTTTTTCATTGTTTCGACTCTTTCATTCTCTGCTAGGCAAAACGCTAAATCCCTGCAGTGTTGGGAGAATATTTTGCCTTCCTCACCCTTGTGCCCCTTACTTAGTCATCTTTGATAGGTTTATTGCCTTGGAAAGTTTGAATGACTCACCCCAGTCTCCTGACAAGCTTGGCAAACTCCAGCAGACAGGTGTCGACTGGCAGCCTCAGCTGGCCTTCTGCCATGGCCAGCTGGCAGTCTTCAAATGAATAATCTGTGATGGGTACCCCCAGGGCTCTGTGCACCACACAGGAGAGATAATGATGGGACATCAGTTTGTGCAAATCAATATGAACTTTGCTTAAGGCCAATAACGCAGAGAAAGTATCTGATACATCTACTTTGAAGTTGGGAACAATGTTCCAAGTTTTCTCCATGAATCTGCAGAGCTGAAGTTTCCCCATGTGTAGCTCAAAGCAATAATGCACAAAATGTAGTAATCTAATAGGCAAGTTTAGCCCTTACACAGCATAAGACAATGATAACTAGGTGGTTCACATTCATTTAGGATTGTATTTTATATATAATTATTATACTTCTAAAGAAAAATGCAAAGTTTCTAAACAGTGTATACTTTATTTAATAATTAGATGACAATGGAAATCTAAAAGATGTGGATTAATACAACTTTACAGCTAGAGATATTCACTGCATTCACCGTTTTTAAATGAAGAGGCAAAATTGGAATTGGAATAATAACCTCAGTCAACTTTGTGTTGTGTACATAAATTGTTGAAATGTATATAATATGATCAATTATTTCAACATACTTAGCCATGATACGTCTCACATTGATGGCGAAGAGTGCAGGATTCTTCTTCTCCTCCTCTGAGGGTGTATAGATGGGAAGAAACTGTAGAAAGCCCCCCCAAAAATATCTTTTTTAAAATAATTAGCAATCTCTCTCTGTCATATTTTTTATACGGGCAGATATGCAATTATCTGTATTGACAGTAATGCACACTTACCTCTATCACAAACTCATTGTGTAACTGGCAGAGTGTCAGCCATAAAATTTGGAATCTGGATAATAACAGGACATCAACAACAACAACAAATTACAAACAAACAAACAAAAAAAAGGAGAGCCCTGCACAGACAACACGTCAACTGAAAACCTCTTACATTTTTCTTGTTGTTTATTTAATTTTCTTAATGCACAAATTTTCAAACCCTTTAATATTTAAGTTCCAGCTGGGAAAGCTTAAGGTAACGTGCGAGAATAAATTAATTAAAACACTGTCAAATTATCAAGTCATGTGAGATTGTGTGTAAATACTATGCAATTTCCATATTTGTCATTTTGAGTTTAGTTCTTGATTTATGTCTGATTTTGACTTAACACAATGTTAGTTACAGTATGTAAAGAATGCACAAAGTGTTAAATTAAGAAAGTGTGAAATTCTGTACTTACGCTCCTGGGCCTTGCCATGTCCATGTGATTGAGTCCTGTTAAAAATAAATAAATTAACAAACAAACCACATGAAGAAGAGACAAATTATTAGTCTCTCAAACACACTTTTACTTTTTATTTCTTGGTTCAAGTGATAACTTTGCTCCAGCTTTCTTTCTCACAGGCAGCTTATTTTCAATCAGTTTAAAAATGATTACAGTGTAATTAGTTTATGGTAAGTTAAGTGTGCAATTAAATACTCAACTCTAGCACATTAAAATTCAGTTTGGACAAACATTTTTCAGACACCCCCAACAAGCATTTCATACAGGTTTCAATATGTTACAGTTTTGATGCGTTTACTCAGAGCGAAAACATGTATTAGCTTTAGACTTCACCTGGATACGTGCTTAGGTTTCTAAAGCTAAGAGATTCATTGTGCTAATGATTCTTTAGCCTTTTAAATTTTGGAAGGCTTCTATCCTTTTATGGACATTTCCAAAATAAGGTTGCTCCAAAAAAATGGAAATGCTATGTTTAATCCCTTAAATGTAAACACAGTAAGATAATGTGTGTCAATAAAATTCAAAATCCATTATGCTTCATGGCAGACTGAATTGTTTTTTTTTTTTTTATTACCATTATATTAAAAAGTCTACTGTTCTCACGCAATGACACCTATTAAATGCAAATGAGGCAGCCCAGGAATTAATATTCACACAGACTAGCTAGAAGTTATTAAAAATTGGTTTCTGTACTTCGTTCTAATGCTTTGCGGCTGAATACAGATGGGCAAAATGGGCATCACTAGCGTTTTTTCTCAGCTAGAGTGATTTCATATGGCTGAAAAACTAAGTTCTTCTGGAATCGCTTTTAACTCTTTAAAGCTGTGGAACCCACCCCCTTTCTTTCCTCTAGCTGTGGACACAGACTTCATTTTCATCAGACATAATTTTCATATGTAAAATTATGTCTCAGAAAGCTGTTATGCCTTTGAATGACTAAATTCTGCAGTCATAGTAAGATAATTTGCTGTGATATCAGCAGATAACAGCCTTGCTGTGCATCATTGCACAGTTATTATCATTGTGCATGAATTTCGGCATCATAAAGGTAAAGCTAATAGTGCCATCATGAGGAAAAAAAATGGCAAAACAAATTGCCATCAATCAACAAAACATTTTGGGTATTTGAAAATTCCATAACAAAAGCATCATGGTTAACCAGTCAATTGGTTTGAGGAACAAAAAGGGCGATGAGTGCTTTTCCAAATAAAATGAATTAATGCCACAGGACACGATTCTAGATTTGTTTTGTTTTTTTCTACATTTCACAGCTCCTATTTCTAATCTATCACCTAATGACAAAAAGGCTAAGGGGGGAAAAAAAACAACTTTTTGCCAATTTACTTACCAGTTTATTAGGGTAACGAATGACCACAGGCTGCACTGGTACAGCTGGGATGAAGGCCCCTACGAGGATTTAAAAACAACAACAAAAACAAGACAGGAGACTAGTTTTCATCTGTTATATTTGTAAAGGAAACGTGCTGGTCTAAGAAAAAATTAGAATAGCAATTACACAGTTAAAAAAAGAAAGCAAAACAAAAAAAAACATGGGTACTTACCTGGCTTAAAGGTGATTAGGCAGGATCTATTGGTGCACGTTCCCTCTGGAAAAATCATGATCTGTATGTATGAGAGGGAAACTAGTTAGTGGTTGATGTTTACTGCAATGTCTGGTAAAAACAGATCATGGCATTCATGCATTTAATTGGTGCAACATGGTGACTTGCATAACTTCACCAACTTACCTGAGGCCATTCTGCTCCAGAGCGGGCTCTGCGTTTGATCTCCTCCACAGTCTTCTTCCTGGAGTCCTGGTCTGACCGGGAAACGAACACCGGCCTGATGTACTTAATCAAAGCTTGAAGCAGAAGGAAGACAGTGGAGGAAATTCAGATAGAAATTACTTGAGAAGCCATTGCTGCAAACAACAAATTCTTCTATTTCTGCAATAAATATCCCAATCGTAAATGTAGAACTGTCAAACATCAAAAGCACAAACGCTTCACTACACAGAATAATTTAATTGGGCAGAGATATAATCTTTTGCAGGCACAAAACTCTATCAAAAGTCTAAAGTTTTAACACAAAGGAAAAACCGTATCCAATAATGACTGGGATTAGATACATTTCAAGCAAAAACGCATAATTTTATGAAAATCTGTAAGATCCACAAAAAGTTTGCAGGATTAAATCATTGTTAAATATATCTTACATTGTACTTGCATTTCCTTTTGCTGTAAAAAAAAAAATTAATGGTGTACTTTATTCAGTGAGTATAACTCATAAATATACAGAAGGAGATACACAAATACAAGGAACACAGCTATTAAGGAACAAAAACTGTCACACATTTGATGTCAACTTCCTCTTTTGATGACAGATTAGGAAACAAATTCTGTACAATAACCCCCACCCACTCAGTGACATGCTGGCCAGTCACGGGAGCACAGTCGGTGACAGACTGAGATTACCCAAATCCACCACTGAATGACACAAGAAATCATTGCTGCCTGTGGTCATCTTTATGTACAGTTCCTCCATCTAAAGCACACATACACAATGCAGTAGTTGCACACCTTTAAGATCTGCACATACTGTACAGAGACAATAACAAAATAAGTATGATAAGAGAGGGACCTCAATTAAAACTTTATCCATATTCAATTTTGTTTGATATATTGGGATATCTATATATTAGAGCTATTTGTATTTCTAAGAACCATTTTGTAGTATATTGTTTTTTAACTAGTTAATTTTCTTACTGCCTTGAGCAACTGTTTCCCCTGGGATTAATAAAGTATTCTGATTCTGATTCATCTAATGTTTAAATATAAGCCACGTTTCCATTGTAGGAACTCTGAGCAGGCAGAAGGTGGCACTAAAACACACAGGACATAACGTACAGCCCTCTAATCATCATTGTTTTCATGACCATGAGACCATCGTCAGATGATGGGATAACTGATTTGAAACACCTCCGGCTGCGATTTCAATTCAGAGCACAACAAAACAACAGTAATGGTCAGTGCAACTATCGATCTGTGAAAAACAACCAGGGACAACAGGGGTAATGGTGGCTGTATGACTATTTGTTATGTCTGTCTATATGATATGATTCTTTTTATTTTGTTGACAGTGATACAGTTTTTGTGCTGGCAGTAGTTACACGCTGGAGCTTGGTTGATGATAATCACCTGCATTTGAAACAAACTTTAACCTTTACATACTGACACAATCTACAACAACAGTGCTGAACCAGTTAACTGTGTGCATATTATCAGCTACAGAGCAACTGCCCAATGTAATGCTAGACCATTTATTTATTTGTTTGTTTTTCTAAGCCCTATCACTAAAATGTAAGGTGTAATGAGAACATTAACACTTGTTGCCACCCACTCCACCTTGCCTGCACTCTCTTCTTCACATCTATAGAGCACTGTCTATTGCTTTGGCTGGTTAACCCCTGGAGTGTAAATTTATCTACCCTCATAGCTTCACTGTTACACCCATCTCCCTCTCATTCACTGAATTTCATTCCTCTTCTCTCCAGGCTCTTTACCATCTGCTCTCCTCAACTCACTATAGATCACAATGTCACCTGTGAACACCATAGTCCATGGAGACTCCTATCTGATGACATCTGTCAACCTGTCCATCATAACTGCAAACAAAAAGGGGCTCAGAGCCGATCCCCGATGTAATCCCACCCCCCCACTTTGAACCCGTCTGCCACGTCTACTACGCACTTCACCACTGTTTTGCTGTCCTCATACACTTTCTGCACCATCCTCATATACTACTACAGTTCCTCTCTTGGCACCTTATCATATGCTTTCTCCAGTTCCACAAAGACACAATGCAGCTCCTTCTGACCTTCTCTACTGCATCTACAGCGCTCTTTGTGCCGTAACAACAAAACTGCTCATTTCACAGCCAAAAAAGTACTCTTGAGTAATGCAGTGAAATTATTGTTGGTGCATAATAACTGAAAGAACAAAGCAAGAAAGCATGAGACAAGGCTAATCAAAAGGTATTGGCTGAAGCATTTGCTTATTACGCCAACCCTTTTCACAAAATATCTTTTTGCGTGCAGCTCGAAGCAAATAATAAAACAAAGCACCAACCAACCAACCAACCAACCAACCAAACAAACAAACAAACAAACAAGAAAAAAAAACTTTCCACCTTAGATAAGTAACTACATCAAAGCAAAATAATCAAGAGGTTTTGTTTTTTGGGGTTTTTTTTTTTTTGCTCTTTTCATTCTTGATTTATATATTTTTCTAATACTCTATTTTTAAACATGTTTTTAAACAAGGAAAATGAACTACACCTTTTTAAATCACTGTCATAACTATTCCACAGGTTAACTCCTCTAACAGAAACACATCTCTGCTTTATATTTGTCCTCATCTTGTTTTTTTTAAAGAAATCTGTTCCCCTTAAGTCATACTGACTCTCTCTGACTTTGAACAGTCCAATATATGTGCAATCTGTGCACTAGTAGACGTGCAAAGGGACATGTGCAATGACAAACAGGAAACTGAGTAGGCAAAGACTAGGGTTAAAGACTTTGTAGAGCAGAAGCATCTTTCGTTTTACAGAGACCAAAAAAAAAAAAAAAAGCCTCTTTGCTCATACAGAAAGTCAACAGAAAGAGAGAAGTTTGAGAGTAGTAAGGGAACAAAATGAAGAAAGAAGAAGGTGAGACCATGACAAGAAGAAGAAGAAATGATTTCAACTGTGAGCTGTCTGCTGACAGGAAGGGATTACATCTCTCGCAAGAACCCTACAAGTCGCTCTGCACACGTCATTCTGGCTGATCAGGTCTTAATGCTTATTCTGGATTCCACGTGGCCATGCCCTTGTGCTTGGTTCCTACTGCAAGTCCAAAAGGACTTGTCACGCTAAAGAACATTAGAGGCCCTTTAACATTTTAGGGAAAGCCAATATTGAGATAGTAGAAACAATAGAATAACAGCATAAAATTCAATATATTTTTACAATTTCAAATGCATTCATTTGCATTTTTTACACTTTAGCCCAGCTAATCCAAATCATAATAGCTGACTGCATATTGTTTAAACAGACAATTTGCCAATAAACAAATATGCTGAAATATGGTCGTAATCCTGCAACACAAGTAAAGCTGCTTTAACTTGGCCGAGCTTCACTTAGCCTGGAACTAACAATGTGGCTAATTACTGACTCAGCAGGCAGAGCAGGAGGAGAAAGGAAGGCAAAAATAACACATAAACACCTTCACAGCATGTTCTGCTTACGGGGACATAAGAACCGGTGACTGAACTGGCAATTGAGAAGACTGTTGAACTTGCAGCCTAGTTGATAGGATCTGACTTATATTATTGTACTGAGTGCGTCTAAGCAAGTCCTGCCTGTCCTCTGGATGTTACTCTGAGTTGTGCAAAGACAAGGCCACACAGCTAGCTAAATAAGCATTTGGCTTTGTGGGATCTATGTCTGGCTATGAATAAAATTTTTTAAAAAAATCATTAGTCTGAGTGTCTTTTATCCAGACACTTATATTTTGTATTTTGACTTGGCTCCTTTTGACAGATTTGTGGGTTAAAGAATGTTGTGAGTACAGTGTAACACTGAGCATTCAGGTTTGACTTTTTTTTCTTTTTAACAAAATTACCTTGTTTAGTCACAGTTGAAAACTCAAACGTGTTGTTCTGGAGTATAATATCTGCTTTCATTACAGCATAGCATCTGTATTTTCTTTGTCTTTTTTTTTTTGAGGTATAGCACTGCTATACCAAGCTACACAAGGCTGAACAAAAACCAAGCTACACTTGCTTTTAACTTATCAAAATTAAATGCAAATCAGAGTGGGCAATCCCCTGTTGACTGTAACGGCAGCAAAGTCATGGGAACTGTCTTACTGATGCTGTACTGATAATCTTCCCCTTTGTACAAGCCACATACCACAAATATCATCTTTCCTTCACGTGCTGCTGAAATGCATCTAGTAACTCACTGTGATGAGCAATGAGATTTTGTTTTTGTGTGTGCCTGTGTGTTATTGTGTGTGGTGGTGGGGTTACTTACTTCCCCAGAGAGGTATATCCTTGCTCTCAGCCTTCATGACAATTGAGGACATTGTCATGGTGACTGGGATGGCATCAAAGTAAGAAGAGTGGGGTGCCAGGGTAAGGATAGGTGCTTCTGTAGGCAATGCCCTTCGCCCTTTCACAGTCATCCAATGGAACCCTCCCGCAAACCACATGACTCGCATGATTATTCTCAGAATGATGTCCACCAGTCTGGAAAACAAGATCATCCATGTGTGAGAAGCACTTTTCACTTCTTGCAAATAAAAGAAAACACTTTAAATGATATAGCATAGTTTATTAAAACAGCAGTACCAATATTCACAATAGAGTCATAAGGGACACAGGATTAGTGTTGTAAGTTGCTATGGAAAATAAACTGTGTCAATAATTGGTGACCAGAAGGGAACTGACACCATAACCACCTGTAATGCACAGTGTGGGGTCTAGTTCTTCAAATGTATTACTTCTCACGCTGTTTCTTCACTAACATTACCGGTGAGATCTCACAACTTAAGACAGAATTATATCCGTCATCTTTCCAGTCAAGGCCAATCAAGAAACTAGCTATAATTTAAGTTTCACTAAAAACATCTTTTATCAGAAGTATCACAAAATTTCTATTTGACACACAGCACTTTAAGTACATCAGAGCTTTAAATTCAACAAAAAGTGCTTGGTTGGTATCATCATAAAGTGAGTAAGACAGCAAAGACTAGCTGGAGAACTGTGTGCTTTAACCCTACAGGGCCTGCTGTCAACAGCCAAACTAAACTTGATATTAACGATGCTCATGATTATGCAATTTTTTCTTGTCTTAAAAATCAATAAATTCCTCAATTTATACTGGCTACTGTCAGGAGGAAGTAGGCACCACCTCCACAACTAAATTATAGAAAGACGGTGCTGGATTGGCAAAACCATGTTTGAACATGGATGCTATCGTACAAACTCAACAAACATAGGAAGTCACATACTTTGACAATTTTCATTGTGCAGTTCCTTCGAAAACATAAAATGAGTAATGCAAGGGAAGCACATCACAAATCTACCATAACAATGCACATTAGTTTAACAGTACTAGACTCTGCATTCTAAACTCCCTCATTCAAGAGGGGTCGCCATAGCTCCATGTTTGAATGCCCACAACTCCAAAGGGAAACCAGGGATCTTTTATTTCTTAGGCCAATGTGCAAATCATTACACTATGGAGCCACTTGAGCTTAATTACTGAACTTTGAGCCAGTTCTACCAGTTGTTTTTTTTTTTTTTTAATTATCGAAAGCTATACATTAAAAAACACCCACCTTCTCCAGAGGCACTGGGGTTCAACGGTGGTCTCGGAGCGCCCCACTGAGGCAATGAAGGCAAAAGGCCAGGCCAGCAACATCATGAATGCAGCTATGAGTAGACGGATGGGGAATAGCGTGACTGTCATTAACGCAATCTGTGAAATAGAGAAAAAGCAAAAAGATCAGTTATTTTCTATACTGCTACAGTTCTTATTTGTAAAAGGATGACTTCAGCCTACAGAATGAATCCATGACTGAAGTGATCTCTTACAGGATGGGTATGTCAGCAACTTCATAGCTGTTCAGGTTGCCAAACTGGAGCTTTAATGGTCGAACAACAATGGTCTCAGGCTGCAGTTCAAACAAGTAAAATGACTGTGTGTTTGTAAAATAAGCAACACACACAAACAAGTGCCTAATATGCGTGTCCTACACAGTATAAATGGCAGCGAGTTTGCAGCATGGCCTCTAAACATAGCTCCTATAATTTAAGACTACGCAATACAAATTTGTCTTATGGGTTTACTTCCTATACTCACAAGCAATATCCTTTAAAGCTGACATGTTATATACCAAGTTGTGCATTCTTAGAGGCTCTGATAATCCTTGCACCTCACTCTAAAGATTCAGTTATGACTGTTTATTTAAAAGCTATTCATGACCCTGATAGCACACCTTATCTTTTGTCAATATTTGTCCTGATAGCAAGCACTGCTGTTAAACATCAAGTCTAAGTGGCCTACCTTATCAGGAGAGAGTTCTTATCTAACAGCAAATTCAGTTTAAACTGCATTTTAAAATGCCAAACACATTCTCAAAAAAAGGGGGCTGGGGGTTCCTGTTGTTAAGAATGTCTTAACCCAGCGGTCCCCAACCTGTTTTGTGCCACGGACTGGTTTATGCCCGACAATATTTTCACGTACCGGCCTTTAAGGTGTCGCGGATAAATACAACAAAATAAAACTAGTACCGGTACCGAAAAAAAGAAGATTTATTCATAACACACGTGAAAAGACCCAGGAAAACAGAGTTAACGATAAAAACAATAACAAAAGAACGCTGAAAACCGATAAAAACCCTGAAAACCATACATTTCACACCTGAGCCTCAACTCTCGCGGCCCGGTACCAAACGACTCACGGACCGGTACCGGTCCGAGGCCCAGGGGTTGGGGACCGCTGTCTTAACCTGTGCAATGTTGAAAGATCAATTCAAAGCACAGGAATACATGAATGTCAACAGGCAATGCTAGTAAAGGGACTCTTTGGAATTTAAGAGGTATAGCAATGTGCTAAAAAACTTTATTTTAGGGCTTATAATGTAATCAAATATAAAAATGTTATCTAACAGACTGTATGAATCTTTTTTCTGTCCTAATTAAAGTCCCAAGAGGCTGAAAACAATGTGCACTGTTAAACCACATAATCATACATATGTAACAGAAGGCTAAGTTAGAAAGTGAGCTCTGTGTTAAACATCAGCTATACACGCAGTTCCACACTAACCTCAAAGATGATTTTTTGTGCATTTGGGGTTTTTTTTCCTTCCATTTTTAAATATCAGCAAAAATACAAAAACAATAGAGTGATTTTAGCCTGTGTTTAAGGAGATGCCAACAAATTAATAGTAAAACACTTCTCTGAATTAGCAGCATTGACAAATAAAAATCCAAGCGAATTGCATATGCCCAGAGGGTTTTTGTTTAACCACTCCCTCTCGTTTTAGCGCTGATGAGTTAGAAAAGAAAGAAAACCCTTAATGTTCACTTGATTTGGAAATATTAACGTGCAAAAGTATAAGAAAAAGACAGTGCTTCTGGGAGTGGACTTTCAAACAAAAACAAAAAAAATGAAGCTGAGATTTAGTTTAGAGAACAGTTTAGAGAACATTTATAAACTACAACTTTTACATGAGCAGGATCATACCCCTCATACTATTATTCAGTGTGGATGTAGATGCTGGATACTATAGAGCAAATGCTGAAGGCCATTTAGTTATGAAGGGGCAGGAGGTATTGTTTTCCAAAGCACTATACACAACTGATGTGCCCACTCTTGATGTCAGACCACATAAAACTTCTAATTATACTAAAAAGTTACCACAATATCATCCCTCATCGAGTAGTGAATCACAGCGATTATCATATACAGGACAGCATTTTGCTAGCGAACCCTGTGTTCTGGCATTCATGTAGGAAATATTATTTAATGGTGTGGTTTTGTGCAATTATGAGAAGTTGTAAATGTTTCCACTTTCACTACACAAAGACAGATTTGGGCCTTTAGGTTAGGCTTGTCAAAATCAGACTCCTAAGATTAGCAGAATGCATTGTGACACCTCACCAGCTTTTGAAGCTTCTCAGGAACAGTTCTTTGAAATAGAATATTGGCTGACCACAATCTAATCAAGAACATCACAAAATATTGCCATAAAGTCACCCTACTGATCAGCTCTCAGTCAATTAACTTGACTAAAGTTTACAGACATTGCATGAGCAACTTTATGTGGATTGAATGGGTAAGTATTGAATTACAAAGCCTCTAAAGTTGATCCAAGATTTAGCCACATTAGTCATTTGCCCCATTAGTAAGAATTATCTACCTTATTACGATTGCCTCTTTTTATAGAAATCCACTTCGAGCATCAGCAAAGCAGTGAAAAGAATTTATTCCTTTTAAAAATATGCAAAAGCAGAATAATTCTCAATTCATTAACAGCCTATCAGTTCCCAAGCCGTTAGCCTGCAAAACTATATAAAGTTAAAGCTTTATGGTTTGACAGCAACTCCTCTGATCCTGCTATTATTGTCCATTACTTAATTAAATTATCACCACACAACTGAGGTAGTCTTTCGCATTTGTGAAACACCAATGCAACACAAACTTCTTCAGTTTGTGCGTTTCACTAGAAAGACTGTGACAATGTCCGGTTTTACAATAAACAGAACATACTGCAGTTCCCTTTCTCTCTGAAGTGAAAACAGACTCTGTGGGTTGATCATTTGGATGTGAAAGCAAGACCTGAGCACGATGCTCTCTGTAGCTTCTTTGTGTGTCACTTATCAGTTGTCCAGTTGTTAGACTCAAAGTCTCATGAACAAGTTTTTATTTCTTCCCCTTTTGTTTATATATTAAACTTGCTGGAGAAACCACACTTTTGTTTTAGTCTTGAGGAACGGCTAATAAATGTAAGCCTATTCTCTTGGCTTTGATCCACCTATCTACCACACATTCTCAATTCTCCCTCCAGTCTCTATGGGGAAAAAAGCAACAAATAAAGAGATGTGCTTGACCTTCACCTAGTCACTATGTGTATCTGTAACACCATACTCTATTACAGAATGGCAGAGCTGCCTCATTCATAAACTCTGGCCTTCCCATTCTACTGTGCTGTGTTACTGAAAATACCTAACACATAGCTGTGCTGCAATTCCACATTGTTTACTAACACAGCACATATTACATTATCTATGTTAAGAATAAGCAGTCAATTGCAAGTAATTGTTTAGAATGAACGCACAGGTGCACACACATCTCTGTGTCAGCTATTTCGAGAGATCATATGAGGTTAACTACACATGGGCCATGTGTGCCTTTAATTCGCAAGCAGTCCCAGTTTTCAAGAACATGACAGTCTAATACTCAAGCTTACAGATGATGACTGCAGGTTCTCATTATCTGTGCCTAATGCAACACGTAGCAAAAGTGGACAAGACAATACTGAAGGAGGTAAATCTGTGCAGGGTTCAAATTTCCGCTGAACGATGTCTGTACTTCTCACTTAAACAGTTTCATGACTTTAAAGTGAAACTGATCAGTGTAAGCCTAGTGGCTGCAAACCTGACTTGCTCTCCAATTAACTCCTTTTGCAGAGAAGCCCGAAAGCCCCAAAATCTGATTACGTGCAGCAGCAGTGACGAATAGCTGCTATAAAGTTTTGCTCCATCTTCAACGAGAAAGGCAAATTGTTTGAACATTAAGAGCTGTGGGGAAATCCATTTTATTTGTAGACAGGAGGAGGGTTGGAAAAAACGTGTCTGCCGGTTTACAACCCCCCTTCTCCAAATCCTCACGTGTTAATTGAACCGCGATAACCAACGAAGCCAGAGCAAAAAAGAAGAGAAGCATGTTTAAATAAACGATGTACACAAATGTTGTCATCCAATATAGTGAAACCCACCAAAAAACCTTTCTAATAGCCGGAGTAACAATTAAACAGCAACAAGCTAGGCCCCTCTTGGACAGGCAGCCATGCTCAAATAACTGACTTTCGTTCTCCTATTATAGAGACAGGGTGGTTTGCAAGCTTTACATCAGGTAGTCGTGTGTAAAATGGGACATTCTTTCTACAGTTAAGGCGATCGTTTTAAAGACCCCCAGCGCTTTCAATGGGGATTCAAGTAAGGCAGTAGAACCGACAAGATAGCGGAGAAAAAGCAACATGTATGTAGCTAATGTTAGCTGACTAGCTAATACTAGCTCAACTGAATGCATGCAATCAAGGGAATCAGTTAAATAACTGCCAGTATGACTCTGTGTCGCACTAAAGTGATAGTGTTCCACGGGCAGCTAAAACTGCACGAATAGGTTAAAAAAATGCGTGCAAACACATACACAAAATTACCTTTGCTTTTTCCAGTGGGGTGAATTTCAAGACGTGCACAAAAGGGTTTCTGACCGGTGGAGCTTGATCCATTTTCTTTCCATCTCCTTCCATCACATATTGTCTGTTACTCGGCAACCTCATTTTTTATAGAGGTAATATTAGTCGTGGCTGCAGCTGTATTTCTTAATACTTCAGTCAGAAAACTGATTCTGCTTGAAAGGAAGGCTCTTCACGCAAAACGTAGCGTCCCTTATCTGTCTTGGACAGTGGCTAATTGAGCTGGCAGTGCAGGGCTATTAACGCTATCTCCCTTTCTTGGACAGCATGGAGGGATGATGACTGGCTCGAGGATTAGCTGGGGATGTCTGAAGTCGCCGATATCGCAGGAGTCCTTCCTCCACACCGTGCTCCCCAATCAAACCAGTCCGCTAGCTTTGGATGCTATCGGAGCCGCTGTTCCACTCGTCATGCATCACGCATGCGCAAGACAATCTTTCTTACCCATGTCGATCCCCTGTGCCCAGCATGGTGTGATGCTGCGTTCACATTTAACAAAAATGTCGTAATTTTAATAATTTGATCAATTTGTTCTACGTTTTGTTTGTTTATTTGTATTTGGGAGGATGTTTATTAATTTAGTTTCACTTTTTAAAAAATGAATATTTATAACACAAGCACACATAAATACGGTGTGCTTGTGGGTTAAAATTTATAGAATAGAATAGAATACCTGTATTGTCACTATACAGTTGTACTATGAGATACAGAGCATCTCCTACTCAGTGCAAACATGCTGGGGGGGCACAGTTCTGCAGCGGCTGTGGGGGGCGGCTGTGTTATCGGTGCATGTGTGAGTTCAGGGTGGTTATGGCTTTGGGGAAGAAACTGTTTTTGAGTCTGTGGGTTTTTGTGTTGATGCACCTGTAGCAGGCTGAACATGTTGAAACCCCAGGGTGGGAGCTGTCCTTGATAATGTTTGCTGCTCTGCTGAGGCAGCGGGAGGAATAAATGTCCATCAGGGAGGGGAGAGGGCAGCCGATGATCTTTTGTGCTGTCTTGACCACACTCTGAAGCCTCACTCTATCCGCCTTGGTGCAGCTGCCGTACCATACCGTGATGCAGTAGGTTAGCAGGCTCTCAATGGACGAGCGGTAGAAGGTCAGCAGCAGGTTGGAGTTCAGCTTATGCTTCTTGAGGACTCTCAGGAAGTGCAGCCGCTGTTGGGCCTTCTTGACGACTGCTGAGATGTTGTCTGTCCAGGAGATGTCAGCAGAGATGAGGACACCAAGGAACCGGAAGGTGTGGACCCTCTCCACACACTCCCCGTTGATGTAAAGGGGGGCCAAGTCAGTGCTGTGTCTCCTGAAGTCAACAATGAGCTCTTTGGTTTTCTTAGTGTTCAGTGCCAGGTTGTTTTCTGAACACCAGGCTGCCAGCTTCAGAACTTCCTCTCTATAGTCTAATGACATCTATGTGTGTGTGTGTGTGTGTGTATATATATATATAATCCCAACACTGTTCATGATGTGAATGTTTTCGAAACGTCCTCAGTGTTCTGTAGAATGGTAGAGTGGCGTGCATGTAGAGTTTCCCGTGACTGCAAAAGTACAGCAGAAGTGGAAAGGGAAACTACCAGAAGGAATTCGATGTATCCTCTGGGCAGAGGAAAAGGGACACTTGGTGGCGGAACGAGGAAGTACAGGAAAGTATTCAAAGCAAGAGGTCAACAAAGAAAAAGTGATGAAGAGATGAAGGAAATAGACACGAATACTGGGAATGTAGGTGTACAGCAAAGAGGGATGTGGCAAGGGAAAAGGGCTTGACTCTAAGGAAGGATAAAGGGTCTTGTATCAATTGGCTATAGGCAGAAAGATCGATCTGGAAAGGATGTGCAACAGGTCAGGGTGATTAAGGACAGAGTACTGAAGAGCGTGTTGAGAATTTGGAAGGAGTACTTTCAGGAGCTGATGAATGAAGAGGGAGGATGGATGAAGGACAGCTATTGAATCATTAAATGCAGAAGATTACTAAGAGTGAGGGAGGCCATCTATGAAGAATATCAGAATCAGAATACTTTATTGATCCCTAGGGGAAATTATGTAGGGTGAATATGAAGGGTGAATGACAGACCTGTGTCGGTGTGGACCTGTCTAAAAATGCCTGAGGACCGAGAAGAATTGTTGTAAAGGTCAGGAGGAGTTGCACTGTGTCTTTGTGGATCTAGAGAAAGCATATGACAAAATACCAAGAGAAGAACTGTGGTACTGCATAAGGAAGTCAAAAGTACGTAAGGGGTGGTGCAGGGTATGTATAAAGAGAGTCAGACAATGGTGAGGACAGTATACAATGAAGATTCATGGATGTAGTTGTGGCGTGGGTGTGGTCTCTGGCCAGCTGCAGAGGAGGGGTGACTCAGTGAGCTCCCGGGGCGGCGCAGGGGCGGGGCGAACAGGTGTGCTGGGGATCTGTCAGTGATTGTCTCTCTTTATATGTTGGCAGTGACAGTCGGAGGAGGAGAGCGGACGTGACAGCAGTGAGAGAGAGCGGGAGTGTCTGTGTCCCAGTACAAAACCACAGTATTAAATAAAAGTTCTGCTGTCGTAATATTCGCTCCGGCTTATGTTTCTTGGGGCCAACATTACAGTAGTAAAATAGGACATGCAAAGGGTTTGCGTGACAGAGGAAGATGCTAGGGATAGGGTGAGATTGTGGCAGATGGTGCATTGTGGCAAACCCTAAGGAGGAGCCAGAAGAAGAATAAGAGAGTGAATTTGAACAGAGCTTAACTTAACTTAACTAAACGATAAACTCTAAAGTATGAGATAGCAGTCTTTTCTGCTTTGCAAAGAGACCAATTGCAGAACTGTAAATATGTAGCTTAAACAGATTTGAATTTAAATGAATAAGGTGACATAGGCCTGAACATACAGACAACATATCCTATCAGTTCAATAAGCAATCAGTAATCAATAACAGGCAAAATAAAAAATAAAAAACAACCCAACAAAAAAAAACCCCAAACAAACACACATTTCATTTGTCCCAAACGTAGTTCATCACACAGTGGCTCTTTGTTAGTCAACTAACCAAGTATGAAACAACGAAATCTAGGACTAATGGTTTGCATTGTGACTATTCTCAAATAAACAAACAAAATAAGTATTTTCCATTCATTTTTTTAGGCTTTAGTTCATTTGGAGATTCATTTGTTTGTTTCCATAACTTGTCCAAAATCTGCATTGAGGTGCATTGCTATTTATGTTTCTTTTTGTATTTTGTGTTTAAATGGCTAATTTAAGAATCCCACAGGGGAAGTTTCACAGAATTGTCATTAATGAATTAATTCCTATTTATTTATTATTTCCCTTCTCATTTTTGTCAGAATAAAAAGAGATGTGCAGAAAACGTTATCTAATAAGCTTTTTGTTATGGCTTTAAGGAGTTCTGTTCCAGAAAGTATCTAAATCAGACATGTTTAGATGCATATTCTTTCATGTGCATATGTAAATATCAAGTTTGAGAAACGTTATAATATAGGAATTATTGGTCCTAATGTTTGTATCATCTGGAGAACTTTTATGGTGATATATATTTACACTGTTTACCCTATTTAATGGCTTGCCTTAATGCCAGTTTATAACCGATTATATGCTTCCCTCTAGTGGTGAAAACCTCACAGTGCCATCAGAAGTACAGTAATTCTGACTTACACTCAATGATATGTGTAAAGATGCTTACGTATACACACAGCTGTTGATGCCCATGTAGTTCATAATACACGTCACTTCCTTCATTATTTCCTTTGATTCTCAACAGTCATCATGCTCTCCCGATTAATTGCCAAAGATATTTTAGACAAAGATTTGACAAATGACATTAAACCATTAAACTGAAATCAGTCAGCAGAAAAAAAGAAGAAAAAATATAAATACATGTTATTTAATTCAGTTTTTATTGCTTGCTTTATTGGTTAAAATGAATAAAAGTTTGAGTTATAACACTTCACTAACTCCTTTCCATCCCATGTCAAATGATGTAAAAGGCAGCTAGTGAGAGCAGAATGTGAGAGGGTGTGTATATGTATGTCTTAAGTACCTACATGAGAATATGTTCATTTCATTTCAACACATTCATTTCAGATAAAAGGTGTGAACAGGGCAGTTGACACGTTTAAGACACATTTATTTGGAAATAACTTTTATTTAGAAATACCTTTTATTTAGTTATTTATTTTTCATAATAAAAGACGCGACACAAATAGACTACGCTGTGCAGAAAACTCAAAGTAATCGCATTTATATTTGCCAGAGTGTTGAACTGCATTGCATTGTGTGTGCACAGCAGTTTTTAAAGTTTTCCTTTTGCAAGCCTATTGATTCAAGTACATGCTTGTATAGGTACTCAAGCATAGTGTGAAAAATGATGATGCATGTTGGAGGCTTTACTTTTATTGTGACACTTGATTTCTCCTCATTCTCATAGCAGTCATGTTTCTCTGTTTTCTTTTTTTTTTTTTTTTTTGCTTATGGCTTTTCCAATTGCAGATATGTCAAGGACAACCAGTCAAACACGTACACACAAACACATACACACAACGCTCATTTTGCAGGCACAGACAGACTAGCACACACCATTAAACTTCATATTGTAATTTGGGTATGGACTAGCATGTAGCCAAAGTGCCCTGTGGGCTGACCGTATCAGGTCGTGACATTTGCATTTGACAGGAATCATATAAGACAGGGTTAATACTGGATAGGATGGAGAGATAGAAGAAGGGGGAAAGAAATAGGGGAAAAGGTTTCCCCCATTTCTGCGACAGCTCATTCCCTCTCTTTCCATCCTTCAATCCCATAGCTGAGGTGCTTAAATTAAAAAGGAAGAAATCCAATTTAAAGACATGGGGTAAACAATCACAAAACACTTGTTTCTAGAAGAGAGACAATTTCCCGGTGCCTTGTCCAATTTCTTATGGCCTGGAGGGCTGCCGCATGCGTTTTAACAACTGGTTCTACACCACTGATTAAAATTGTAATGCCGGTGTTGAATCAATCCATATGACATTTTAAAAATACACAGCTATCAGGACATTTTATATATACAGCATTTTTTCTATTGTTTTCATTTGGAAACAGAAAGGTGCAAGGTGGTGACTTGCACTGGGTGTCAGAACTCTGCCTTGCAACTGTTTGAAGGGGAGAGAAAAAATGAAGTTTCAACATCCTAAACAAGTATAAATATGTCACTATAATTGCATATGGTGTTTACTCAAAAGCCACGTGTAAGGTATGCACAGTGAAACCTGTAACAGGACAATTATCACTCTGTTTCTGCTGTTTTGTGAACAATCAACATAATTTGGAACCAGTTAAGTTTACTATTTTTTTTTGTCTCCAACAGGATTCTGATGGGATCTTAAATTCTTCCATTTCTAAACAGGCGTTTCAGTGGCTTTAGTTGTCATCACCACCATCACATTTCAACCCAGATTC